AATAGGCTAGATTATAATTAAACTTATTTGACATAGATGGCACCACCATTCAGCATTTTTCTTGTGTAAACCACGTGGCGCATTTTGATGATTAGCTATAAGTTTGCTAGGAATTCTTCTTGCTATAAAGTAGTCGTTTGGTGTGGAAAAGGTATATATCCATTTTTATTACGTAAATATAATAAAAGTAAGCAGTTAACTGCAAATTATATTACTAAGTGTTTTTGTAATTTAAAAAAAGTTATCTGATAATGAGCGACTCTGACGATGACAATTTTGAATATGCCAATTTATCAGACAGTTTCACAGCGATGAGAGTGATGATTTTCTTGGGTGATGGAAGTGAATCAGAAGATAATGACAACGAGATTTGGATATAGCAAGGAATTGGTATCAAATTAGTATAAATCAACCAAACGTTGCACACCGAGATTTCGATTTGAAGCTAACCCTGGCTGTTGTTTCTTAAAATGCACTCGAGAATATGATTATGCAAGAAAAAAAATAGGTGATTTTTTGACCGAAAATTAATGTGTGCCTTAAGGGGTTAATAAAAAAATCTCTTTCTATAATGCCTGCCCAAGTGATAAGATTAGAAGCATTTTTGAGATTTTCCATGCTTTTGTCTAGGGAAAAGGGTCTTTGTCAATAAAGGGACGATAAACATGTTAAGAAAAAAGATTTTAGTATGAGGAGTAAAACATTCAAATATTACGTTTCCATTGTTTTTCCAGACGTTCTCCAAAAAGTAAGAAATTCATCGCAAACTTTCTGTAAAATGCATCCATTACGTGTTGATATGTTGATACCATGGAGACATTTTTAATTTTGTCACATATTTCCTGAATCTTCTAGAATTGTGGGTCTATAAATCTTGCCTTCAAATCCTTCTAAACTTTCCATACTGCAATGTCAAAAATACTAAAAAAAAAATTATCCCAACCAATTCTGTAACAGCAAAAAGCCAGAAATATTTTGAAAAAAAAAGGGGGGAAGAAAAGTGTAAAATTAATTTTATAGAGAAAACTGATACATATTCTGAGAATTTTGAATAATCTGAGACAATTACATGGGAAAAATGCTTACTATGAAAAAATTGAAAAGAAGACCTTTTAATTAATTACACAGCTAATTTTGCTTTTACTAAGAGCTGTTTCGTAAATTATGCTTTATAGCTGTATACCTTGTTTATTTTTCAGATTTAAAATATTGTATAATAAGTGCCAAAATGAAACTTTATGATATGACAGCGAAAAATAAAAATGTTTTATTTCAATGTTATTTTTAAAATATAATTCTAATATATTACCATTATTTTAATGAAATTTATCAATATTATGATGTTTTATAAAAATTGCCAAAAATTCTCAGATCTTGGAATTAAAAATTTTCTACAGAAACTGATCTTAAAATCGCCAAAATGTTGACAAGTTGTCAAATTTAGAACCATTTAATAAAAGAATTTACAACCCCAAAAGTGAAAAGTTGTTTAAGAGCTCTTTATTAGAAAAAATGAATTTCAAAATGCATATGTTTCACTTTTTACTTAGAAACTCAAGTATCCCATCCCATCATTTATATTAGAAATAGAAAGAAATTATAATGCATGAACCCATTCAAAAGATAACCATATACGTAAGTGAATTGCCAAAAATATTCCTCCAAAATGCTAATTCACACTCAAAATGGCAGTCGTAAAAACAGAGAGAAAATTAAGATGATTAAAATTAAGGACCTTCTACTGATTTTGGCCAAAATTAAGGACCAAAAATCGATTTAAAAAAATTTAAGGACCGTATGAACCCTGTGAAATGTTTAATAAAGTAAACAAATAAATATTAAGCTTTTTTTTTTTTTTTTTTTTTTTTTTTTTTTTGTAAATTTTGATACCCTTTGGATCATAATTGTTCTTTATTTCATAAATTACGGTTTCATATTTTTAATTTTATTATTTCTGCACGCCATCTTACCAGATTTAAACAGATGATCAATAATTCAGAATCGCTGAAGTCCCGACGAGTCTGGATTAAAGACTTTTGACTGTAAAAAGCTTAATTATGATTTCAATTCAGAAGCCATACTCAACAAATAACACATTCTTCTTTTGAGAGAACAGAAAATTCTACTTCAGTATAAATGCATATTTTAGTTTGTTACATGAAGTCTTCTTGTTAAAAATTTGCTATTAATCCTTCATTCACCATGATTATTTCTGCAATACTTTAACCAAATGGGGGGATGTCTACAAGATAGCAGTGACTGAAGAATTAACTTTTTTGGATCATTCAGTAATGACCCTTTTCTGTAACACATATATAATTAATGAAGTACCGTTTCATTAATGAAATACAGTGGGTTGCACTAACTTTATATATGTTTATATTGCTTATTTGTTTGAAGCTATGTTTGTGATAGTTATATATATATATATACTGTATTTGCATTACCAGCCATGTACTCATTTGCAGAAATAATAAAACCTCAATATAATCTAGTTTTAGAGATTACGTTTGGTTATGTAATATTTCAAATAGCTCAAGAGCTTATTTACTTTAGATGAGGTGCTTTTATAGAATACTCTATAAGGGAAACTAGCCTGTATTTGCTACATATGGAAATCCTCATACAACTAACCTTCTCCATCACAAAACAAGACTTGGGATAAATTACTAGTATTCAGAGATAAAATCTACTCAACCAGTGATTGATGCTCTATAAATTAAAATCTGCAATCAAACATTAATTCAAATGCTTGCAATATAGGTGCAGTGCTTTTCTTTTAGATGCAAATAAGAAAGCCCATGATCCTACACATCTTACCTTAATTTTCTGATTTAGAAAGAATTACAAATGTTAGAAAAAAAGGGAAAGATGTTTATGTTCTTCAAATTTAATTAAACAGCTAATTCAAACTACTGTGTTTAAATCTACTACAAGCTGCAATATAGTTTCCCAGGGAAAAAAAAAAAAAAAAAAAAAAAAAAAAAAAAAAGACATTCACTTGAGCTACATCTAACAGAAAATGTTGAAGTAATACTAATAGTAAAATCTTTTATTGGAGAATTCAAGGAGATGATTTTTAGATAAATCTTCACTTGAATCCAAAAGTAATGTGATAAAACATACGCATATTTATTGCCAGTGATTTTCTTCACAGACCCACAGATAATTCAAAATATCTGAAGACTTTTATAATATTGTATTTCTTTTTGAAACAGAAGGTACTAAGGTACATTTTGATCATTCAGTTGAACAGGAATCTCATGTTCAAAAGTCACTCAGTCTAAAATATTTTCTTCTCTTAGATGTTCAGGCATATGTGAACTTTGAATTTTGGCAAAGCAAAAACATTTCTGCTTCTTTTGCATGAGATAAAAATTTTCAGTGCCTACTGCCACAAAATTAGTGGTAATTTATAAGCCACTTTTTCAAAAAATTCAGGAATAAAATATTTCAAGCATGAAACATAAAGTGAAAAATAAAGAAAATTATGTATTTACATTCACTTCAATAATATGCGGAGCTGCAATATGATTCAAATTCAAAACAAAGTACAAGAGTAAAACATGGTAGAGAAAAAAGGATGAATGTTAAGGTAATTTTTTGAAGAAAGAAAGAATTCTTTTATGAAAATACATCATAGCATTTCAGATAAATAAAACTGTATATTCATTAATAAAAATTTCATACTCTTAAGTTAAAGTAAAAATAAATAAATTACATTATTTTCAAATGTCCTTTCAGTTAGATATTTTCTAAAACGAATCTCTACACTATTTCTGCCATTATGTTTGGCATTTATTATTAATAATTTCTACTATTAGAAATTATCAGTGCTAGAATTGAAACTTTAGAGTTATTAAAAAAATGCTACTTTATGATTAAGTAAACCCACTGAAAAATCAGATATTTGCAGATTAGGCATTTATTTTGGAATTAATTTTTTTAACAAGATTCAATAATATGTAAAGATCACCACAAGATAGCCATAATTATTTAAATTCACAACTAAATCAACTAATGTTTAATTACATAATTGTATTCTAAGACAAAAATGTTTTAGTCATATGTTTAGCTGTACGGAATCTTTGTGAAAAGCGGAAACAAAAAAAAATGATGAGGGATAATGCATATGATATCTTTTTGCTGCATTCATAATGCAAATGCCATTACTTTCCGATTATCTGCACTTGAAATTTCAATAAAAAATAGAATCATACTTTTAGCATGTTTTTGAGTAACTCAAACATGTGTTTAAGTATGCATGGATTTACATGCTTTACATTTAATTGCCTTTTTATTGATCTATATATATCCCAAAAGTGCATTTTTTTAGTCAAAACAAATCATAATGAGCATGTGAAATTTATTAAATGCTTCTTTTTGTTATTATATATGAGTTGAATAGGCTCTATGAGCCATTTAAGAAAACCAAAATTTTCAGCAATTTATTAATCTGCAATTAATTGATGACTTTTTATGAGGGTGTAGATTGATCAGGAAATAATACTCAAATGCCGTTTAATTTCTGAAGTTTAATTTTTATCAATGTAATGTAGTTATTTTATTGTATTTGCGATAAAATTATTCAATATATAATGGCAGTCACATTGGACACAGTAAAAGTCTTGTATGGAGACTATCTACGTTTTTACAACAATTGATCTATCTACAAATTTCAATGAAAAAATTAGATCCAGTTCCTTACGGCATTTATTTTGGAGTGCAAAATTTGAGTGACATATATAATAAAATCTCTAGCATTTTGAGATTTTCTGTTATTTAATAAAACACTAATTATAATTTGGAAGATATCTAAGCAAAAATACTAGAACTGTCTAAATAAAAATCATCAAATTTTTTGCAGTTCTTACTTTTATCTACTCATATAGAAAAGACAGTATTTTGATTGCTTTGTCTGAAGGCAGCAGTTTATAAAATATTCTGAAGTATAAGGAATATTATATTTAATAAAGTATTAACAATATGTAAAAACTTACTTCGACTATAAACTGTCGACATGCACCACATGGTCCTATAACTTCTTCATTTTTAGAGCTAAGAAAAAAGAACATTCAGATTAATTAGTTTGTTAAACAAAAATAAATAAAATTTATTTATAAATAAAGCTAAAACTTCATAATATTAATTAGATTACAATATGAACGTAGAATGTTTTGAAAGTTTTCACTACAAGTATTCAACTTATCAAAAATGTTTTGCCAAAATGTTATCGCAAGTTTATTTATTACAAGTTGGAGAGAGAGCATTATATGCTTTTTAATTCTATAAATATGATATTTTTAGTAAAAAAAAAGTTTAAAAAGAAATAACATGACAAACTCCCCTCCTCCAAAAAAACGTTTGGGAGAAAGGTTACTAAAACCAAGATATTGGCAAACAAGCTATAATTCTTTCAGCTATTTATTGGTAGAAGTATGCTTCAAAATTTTGTCTAAATACTGATAGGGAAGCAACTTTAAGCAGTTTTGTGACACATATGAGTTTGTCGAGTTTCATTACAAAATAATCATTTGCATTTTTTACAGGTTGCTTTATTGTTCTGTTAATTGTTCTACAATGAAGCTATTTATTCTACAATACTGTATTTACTCGCATAATTTCTCCCTTAGCGTTTCAGCAGAATGCTCCATACATGTGATTTTCCCCTTTCTCAGGATGTTCAGAAAGCAAGTTACCCTACAATGGTTTCTTCTGCGTAATAATTGTTTTCATTTTACTAACTGATTTGCTCATGGGTTTTGGGTGTATGGGCTTTGATTGATGAAACATATATATCAAGAAAATGGGGATCTAATGCTGTTATTGTTGATGATTCTGAAGATAATTGCATAAGGGAAGAGAGACTGAACAGTGACAATGATGATAACTGTATGGCTATTAGATTATGATTCTACTGTATGGCTAATTAGATTATGATTCTATAGCAATCTATATAAAAACATTAAAATTTGAAAATTTTAAATTACTTGTATGAGAATTCTTTCAATTTATGGTATATAATAAAATTATAAACTAAAGAAAGCTACATAATAGTAAATCATAAAAATATCACTATATGATATTAAAAGAAAAAATAAATAAACCTCAGATTTATTCTGATTTATTACTGAAATGACCCCTTAAAACAAGCTGAAGATAGTGATCAAAATCCCAAATTTTAAAATTTAATATCTTGATCAATTTTTATCATACAGAAGTTACTTTCTGTTTTTTTTTTTTTTTTTTTTTTTTAAATTGAAAATAAACTTTTACTGGATATAAGAATAAAAGTTGACATAACAGCAGTTCCAACAGCCCTGAATGATTTGACTGTCTAGAGATTAGCAGTGGAACAACAATAAGAATGGATGAGACTCAATACACAGGGAAGTAAAAATGAGTATGTCTTTTTACATATACTGTAATATTAGTATATAATCTTACTGGAATGTTCCTTTTAAACTGTAAGGTATATTTTAATTTCAAAACCTTTTCCTATCAATTCTTGTTTCCACTCAGTTCCCTACCAGAATGAGGTTTTAGAATCATGTTAAATGCAAATGAGTTAGAAGAAGTATTTAAAGAAGGTTCAACTAACTTTAAAAGAGAGTGCTAAGAGTCCTTAGTAGCGTGTGTTTGCCTTCTGGCTAAGTCACTCTTGAAGTTGTTACCGCTTGGCTGTATTTTATGTGGCTACTGATATTCGCCAGTTAGTTTAGTTTAGAGCCAACTACGTTAGATACTTGTGTCTAGCTTTGGCTAAGTCTCGTTTAGTTAATTATAGTTTAGTTTCTTATTCTGTGTTAAAGCCCAAGAAGGGGCCAAGTGTTCTTATTTGAGTGAATAAAAGGGTATTTTAACCCTTCTCAAGTCTATGTCTTAGTTGTTTGAACTCAGTGATAAGTCGCTACATAGCTCACAGGGTTCTTCGGTGTTCATCTTAGACAAAAGGAGTTAAGAACCCTACAAAACAAATAATATTGTGGTACTTGCCAATAGATTGATAAATACTTTTCATTTGCTATTTGTTTACCGTAATCACCACGTCCTTTGTAAATTAAATTTTTCACATAATTTTCCTTTTTCGATTTTTGTATGATAAAATTAGTAAAAAAGTCGGAGAATATGCAAGTAAATACAGTACATGTTGCACATTCTGCTTTTTACGAAATAGAAATTCTGCTTAGAAATTTTACGAAATTTAAAAAATGCTTCCTTTTGCTTTAAACTATATATTTTAGCAGTTGAATTTTCATATAATTTTTCATGTGGTTTATTAAAATATACCTTTTTCCCCTTCAATTATCTAAAAGCATGTATAATTAGTACTAACATCACACAGATGAACCCTTACTTTTATACTTTCTGCATATACTTATGCACATGCACATTCCCACTGAAAGTTTATTGATAAATTTCAGAAATGTTTTTTCTATCCATCACTAATTCTGCATAAACATGATTCTCTTTGCAAGTAATATGATTAAGGATACTGCTGGTGTATAGTATCCTTAAAAATTAATAATAATATTAAACTGTAGTGAATTTCTTCTCTCCTCCCACAGCAGCCCATAAATGACATTTCTGAATTCACAGATCAGTATTTATGAAACTTTTGCAATATCACTTATTAATAACTACAATTGATTGTGAATATAGATAACAGCAGAACAAAGCAAATCAGGCCTTTTGCAACCCATCCAAAAATTGTCCCCTGATTAACAGCTGGGTCACGATCTATACTATGAGAACCACTATTCTAGATCAAAGATGACTCTTAAAAAATAGCTGCCAGTAAAAAGATTTTGCTTATTTTGTGCACAGTTTACTAAAATATTTCAAGGACAGTAAATCTATAAATAATAAACTCTGCCACTATGGCTATTTAAAAATTCACCAATTTCCATTCCTAGTGAACCTAGGTTTTACTTAAGTTGGATTAAGTAGGAAACTGAAATATTCTGTGCTCTGAAATGGATGGAAACTAGCCGTAGTAATTATTACATAACTTGATGGGCTGGTGAGAATTTCACTTTAAATAGCCTTGATTTTGAAATCAGAAATCTCATAAATCATGAAACATCATTATTTATCATAAATGCAGAATTTGCAAATGTTTTATGGCCATTTTAGAGTCATTTTAGAAGTAAGATTAATTGTCTAAATCTATACCAAATACAAGATTGTTTCTTAACTAAAATGTGTGTTTCTCTTCTGATTTCATTAAGAATAATTTTGCTATATATATGTATGTCATATACATAAGGTAAAAAAAAAATAGGTGAGGTAAAATATTAATTTTAATTTGCTTTAACTTTCCATTTTAATTTGGTCATTTTCTCTTTTTATCCTAAAAATAGTCAATGCTTATAACACATTTTTTAAAATTAATGTTCCTCACATGATTCTTGCATAATAATAATGATGCAGACGCTTAATGGTGCTTCAGCCAATAATGATTTCAAATCTGAACACTGAAATTAATACTAAGTAGTAAGAATAAAATTAAATCATTCTGTACCTGACTTATCTTTGAAACACTGTATTCCTGCTCTTGCTTGCTTTCCTGCAAATATGTTGCCGCTTACCTCTCTTTCATCAATTTTATCCTCATAAAAAGGAACAAATGTGATCAAGAATGGAAGACACAAATTGCACCTTTTGCTTTGTGTAATTCAAATTAAGAATGTGCTTCTGAAGAATTAATTTATTCAGAAATAAAATTTGTTTAATTAGCCTCGATTGTGTTTCCTGCCATCAACTTCAAAATCATTATATATATATATATAATTTATTTCCTAAACAATATTGATTAATTGATTATATTATCTCCTAAGTTTAATATATATATATATATGTATCTAAAGCAAACAAAAACCGTGTCCATAAAAGTCCTTATGTGTTTTTTTATTTTGGCAACTGGTGGTTGTAGACATACACTTCCAATCATTAAAAAAAAAATTAGATAAGGAAGTTATACAACTTTACGGTACTTTTAAATTAAAAAAATTAGCAATTTAAAAAAAAATATTAAAGTAAAAAAATTAAGAAAATATTAAAAAAAAAAAAAAAAAGTACTGTGAAAGTTTGATAAAAGTAAAATATTAAAAAATCTAATTTTTATATGAAAGTTTAAAAATCTTTCTAAAAATAAAACATAGAAAGTTTGACTCTGATACCAAAAGAAAATTGACCAAGATACTATTTAAAAAGTACAAGATCACATTCAGGGATCATACACAAAATAAATGGTGAAATATTTACATTTGTATGTAATTAAAATTTAAATATTAGTTTAAAGAAAAGGTTTCTGATACTGATAGATTAAGTGATGTACATCACTGTACAGACTGCAATAAAAAGTATTGATTAATATAATTTTTTTCAAAATGATTTTATTCTCAAAACCTTATAGAAGTTATAGAAAACTAATCGAAACAACAAAACATGATGTTCATCACCTACTGCCAAAACATGTTCCTCGGCATAAGACTACGTGCATATTGCTGTATGAAAATTATTTAGCAGGTGAAAAATGCGAATATACAGTTACAGTTCACGAGGTTTGGACATACTTATCTGCCTGCAATAGAATAAGATTAGTTTACTACCGAAAAAGAAGAGAAGGACTTAATATGTTGGTTCAGAGAAAACAAGGAAAGTTTTTCTAAAGGTTTTATGGTTATTACTGGATCCTCTTATAACAGAAAACTTAAAATAAAGAAAGTAGGCAAAAATGTCAAAATTAATTCAGATTACTGTCAGAAATAAGTTTTAACACCTATTTTTAAAGAAGAAATTCCATCTCTTTATCCAAGCAATTTTCAGTATATTAAGTTCCATCAGAATAAGGCTCCAAGCCATATCTCTAAATCTACTGCTCGGTTTTTTGAAAAATGGGAAATTAAACCGGAATGGAAGCTATTCTTTTTAAATGCATCCCACCCAAGTCTCCTGATGTGTCTCCTATGGATTACTGTGCATTTGGACGTTTAAAACAAGCTGTTTTTAAATGGCATCCCAAAACATTAGATGGACTCTGGAAGATTGTGAAGGAGGAGTGGAATAAAATCAACTTTGATGTTTTAAGAAAAGGACTCTTATCTTGGAAATCAAGATGTAAAATGAAAGTTCAACCAAAAGGGCTATCAGACTGAATGTATTAGAAAATAAAATTCTCAGGTTTGTTTATATATAAATCTTTGCAAAATTGTTACAAAAATGTGTGAACACCCTCTGCAATTGTATGATGAAAATAAGCAATTATTATACTATAACTAGCAATTATTATTATATTACTTAATCATCATCACATTAATTTTGATATTATACATAACTTACTTTATTATCAATATGATTAAGTATAATAATTATGATTAAAAATAATTGCAGTTCTTTAATTATCATTATATTATTATGTATACTGTAACTAATTAATTATAAAAATAATATAATTATTCTAAATAATTATTATTATAAAAGAGTATTTCTGTCAAAGAGTGTAGTTTGATGACTTTTAATGTTTTTTTTTTTTAAATAAAGCTATGAAATAATTCTATTTTTCATATAAATTATAAAAGCTTTGTTTCTTGATAAAAGCTACAAATGAGCACAAATCTTAAGAGTTTTTATTTTTGAAAGCATCAGCAAAAGGCAGGTGATGGCAGGATGACCACTGAGGCTTTCCCTACCCTTGGTAATAAATTCATCCTATCTAGCAAATACAGACTTTCATGTAAACCCTCTATCACATGGCTGTGTAATTAAGCTTTCTTTTGGAAGACTCTGTATTTTGGTGGAATGCCAGTGAAGGTTGCTTTCGCAATGGTTGGACTCAATATTTTTCATTCAAATATTAATAAAAGGTACCAAATTATTGGTAACAAAATTGAACATATTGGTAGCAAAATCAAAAGAACAGAAGTTAAAGTAATGATGAAAGAAGTCTAGCATCATTATCTAATTTTCATCTGGAGAGATTTTCATCCCTTGCATTTGACAACAATCATGCATATTACGTTACTACATATATTAACTTTTAGAACTCAAAGTGCTCCTCACAGGGAGTGGAAAAGTTTGGCATTGTACTTGAAGTGTGTCTCTCAAGCACATCAACAATATACTGCACTGAAGATCATGTGATTGTAATTTACAGCTAAATTTTAATTGCATGTGATTTAATGTTTTATTGATTTCGGTATTTAATCATTTGTTTGGCCGATAAAAATAAAAAAAAATACTATTTACCATGGTGTAAAATGTGATGGAAGAAGCAGTGTTTCAAGATAGCAGCAATGATGAATTTAGTGAGGATGAATATGAAAGTTATTCTGATGACAGTGCCATTATTCCATTAGTGAAGAAAAAATGAAAAATACTGCAATATAGTGATACTAGTGAAAGTGATGAAAACGTAACAGAAAATTTAGATAGTATTAGCAAAAACTGTTTTGTCTGTTGAAACCAAAAGGCTAGAAGACAAACCACTTATTTTTGCAAAACTTGCAATCATCAACCAAGTCTGCATCCTGCTAACTGCTTTAAATAATATCACACACTTGAAAATTATAAATAATTTATAATTAAAATTATCTTGCCTTTTAAATTCTATATTCAAATAAATCACACATTACCAGATATAGTAAAAAAGATCACAAGATACATTAAAAAAAAAAGGTCCAAGCTGTTGAAAGCATTAGACAAGAAAAATGTTTGAGTGTGCAATACATGAGTACACATGTAAAAAATATTACAGTCAAAAGTCGTTAATTCGGACACCCATAATCCGGACCTCAAAGCTACAAACTTTCTGCGCATGTGTCCCGTTTACGTGTGCGTGCAAGACCTTTACAGCTGCAAATATGCGTGTGCATGTGCGCATAAAAGGTTTACGCATGCTCGTTTAATGTATAATGGACGGTATAAGCTAAGCTAAAATTATCTAATTCAGTTAATGTTGCAGATTGCCTTGTTCCTTAATCTTCGAATTGGATCTGGCTTATTATTTTTTGCAGACTGTTAGAGCAATTTTATAAAAGTAAGCTTGAACTTTCGATTATATCAAATAGAATTTCCGATATATATTTGCTAATATGTAAAGGATCTAAAGCGAAATTATGTTTCGAAATCTGTTTATCAATTTCACGCTGCTCGGCGGGGGGAACGCCGCGGCGCGCAATGAATTGGAAGTTGACCTGTCAGCACTATCCTTATCTTCAGGGCAGATGTTTTTATTTGGCTTTTAATTCCTTAGTAAATGTAGTATTTCATCTCGATGTACTCCGTCTTTGATATGATTTAAAACAAGTTCCTCGTCATTATAATTTGCTTCCGATAGTGAAGAAAATGACAGAGGTTATTGAAAACGAAAAAATTTCGATTGACAAATTAGTCGGTATTCTGGACACAGCAATTATAGGACTTGAACAGCGGAACTTTGTAACTAAACAAGAAATTATGTCTGTTTAATAGAATTAAAGAGAAAGTATTATCACATGAAACGAAGCAACTTAAACAACTTACATTGAAAGAAATGTTTAATAAAGTAAACAAATAAATATTAAGCTTTTTCTTTTTGTAAATTTTGATACCCTTTAGATCAAAATTGTTCTTCATTTCATAAATTACGGTTTAATATTTTTAATTTTATAATTTCTGCATGCCATCTTACCAGATTTAAACTGATGATCTATAATCCGGAAAAATCGATAATCCGGAATCGCCGAAGTCCCGACGAGTCCGGATTAACAACTTTTGACTGTATCACTTTACATTTTAGCACATTTTAAATAAAATAACAAAATATATATATAAGTGTGTGTTTTATATTTTACTGGAAAATTATTCAACTTACAGATAAATTTTTGTGTAAAATAATGCAATATACTGGGCTAGTTATTATAATAGTTAAAGTAATCATAATGATTTTATTATTATTCAATATAAAGCATTGTTTTACACAAAAATTCTTACCTTCTTGAGGGGAAAAAATGTCGCTACCTGGTTGCGATAGCAAGTGCTTTGAACTTGCGGCATCCTTCCGAGACAGCTTTAACAATTACAGTTCTTTCTGCACATACACTGAGACCATAAGAAGCATTTTCAACATTACAACCTAAAAAGTAATGCTAATAATTTAACACAGTAACATTAAAATACTACTACTACGTATAACAATATTTTCCGAATATTACTAAGAAAAATAAAAAATCAAATTTATACTATATATCAATTTAGCAATATTTTTTAAGTTGGATATCATGATTCTAATGTATTAAGGTGATTGAAATAAAAATCTTAACTATTAATTTTGTAGCATATGTGGAAATAAAAAAATCTGTATATAATTTTTGATGCTGTCTTCATGATGTGCAATACATGTATTCCAGCCTTTTACAAGTGCATGAATGCCTCATGAGAAGAATTCTTTTAGTTGTGACTCCCACACTGCAGTCCACACTGCAGTTTTCAGTGTTTCAGAAATGCTTGCCTCCCATCACCTCTTTTAAGTGTCAGAACACATGAAATTCTCTAAAAGAATTTTCATGAATACTCTAAAGATCTGTATATGTATAGTTCAAACGGCTCATCCGCGACCATCAGCGTAAACACGCATGAGCCATTCGGAGCAAATTACTCTCAAAATACGATGGAAGGATGGGGACTTCCTTATCCTCCAGCATATCTCTTTCTGGAGAAGAGACTTTCATGTTGCAGGAAGTGATAATGCCCCTTTTGGACAAGTCTATGTGTTTTGGCAGAATGCCAGCCAGGGTTGCATTTGAGACGGTTGAACTATACTGGTCATTGTCTAGTGTATAAGGTGAATGTGTGAGAAATTCATATTTTACATCTTGGATTGTTGCAATTATTAAATGAGAAATATATGGTCAAACAGTAACAATATGCCAAAAGCGAATTATTTATTCTTGACTGTATGGTGAGTGTGATTTTGGAGCAGATCTGTACATGTATTGGCACTGTTACTCCCTTCTCCATGTGATGTTCCAAAATTTGAATTTAACAAACGTTCTCTATTCGTCAAAAGCTATCCCCTGAGTAGAACTTCATATGTTGATGGAATGACAGTCTCTGCAGACATGATGCAGATTTTTAACTTTTTACATCACTGTATAATCCAAGCTATGAATCTTCATACTGCACTTTCATCTTGTGATGAATTTCAGTTGGTTTAATACTTTCACTACTGACAAAGCTTCTTATAACACACTGCTATAACATTGCTGCAGTCTGTTACAGCACTGGATTCAGCAGGATTGCAGATTGCTACAATCCACCAACAAACTGCAGATTGCTGCTGTAACATACTACATGTCAACAAGGCCAGTTTAAGCGATTTCAGAGCACCCTATAAGTTGGGACATGTGGGCCCCCTTGCTTATTCTGGGTTCTGACTATCACACAGTTTATTACCACTAATAATTTCATTTCAGAAACAAAAATTATAGGCACTTATGTAATATAATTTATGCATCAGCAATTTTCAAAATTTTACATTTTTTGTAGCCAAATAAAATTATGCATATTTAAAAAAAAACTGAAATGTGACATTTTTATAACATGAAGTAAAGCACATTATATTTTCAATAAAAAAAATCTGAAAAGGATATTTTCACAGTAGCACCCAACCATATTTGGCAAGTTTATATTTGTGTTGCCAAGCTCGTGAAGCATAAATGTAAAAATAAACAACACAATATATAACAATATATATCACATGTTGTTTCCTAAGAATATTTTTTAGAATCCTTATCCTTATTATTATTTTATTGCATGTAACTGCTCCACTTTCACATATATTAAGCTGCCTGTTACACCATTTCATGGACATCAGCTCCTCTATCCAAGAATACATAAATCTAACAGTAATGACAAATGATAAGCTGAAGCCACTGAATATCCAACATGGAGGCCCCCCCCCTTTTTTTTTTTTTTTTTTGCAATTTTTAACACTGCACCTCCAAATGGTTTTGTTGTTAACATAAAGTTTCATGTTGTGGCCATTTGTCAGTAAAAGACCTCTTTCTTGAAAAAAAAAAATTAATTTCTTGAAAATATGGCATTCATCTCATTACTCGGTAAATTAAAAATTGTTAACGTCATATTCATACACCAAAAAAGCAATGAATATATTTTTAAATAAAGAATGAGAATTTGAAAACTCATGAAAAATTAATAATATAAGAACAGGCAGTGAGAGCAAACATGCAACATGGTGCTACTATATGATTACATAGTAAGATATAAGAACATGCAGACAGCACTAATATATGATTACATGGCGAGGTATAAGAATATACAACCAGATTTTCATGAGATAAGTATCTCACCAAAATCTGCTATAAAAAAATTAAGTACTCTGAAAAGTTTAGCATATTTATTTAAATTCAAAATTACAACACATTTAGAAAACAAATACGAATAATTTTAAAATATATGAAAAATAAGCTTATCCCAATTTATTATATTTGACAGCACATTATTCTAGTCTTTTATAGATTTTATAATAAAGGGTGTTTATAAAGTCCTGGACCCATTTTGTTTAATAACTCGTAAAATAATGAAGATACAAACAAACTTATGGCATTTATTGATGGAATAACTTATAAGTAGGTTGTTTTCTTTTTCAACCTCCGATCACACAGTATGATGGCCGATATGCAGGTGGGGGGGGGGGGGGGGGGGGGGGGGGGGTGGGGGGGGGGGGGGGGGGGGGGGGGGGGGGGGGGGGGGGGGGGGGGGGGGGGGGGGGGGGGGGGGGGGTGGGGGGGGGGGGGGGGGGGGGGGGGGGGGGGGGTGGGGGGGGGGGGGGGGGGGGGGGGGGGGTGGGGGGGGGGGCAGTGGTTGGTTGGTGTGCGTAGTAGGCGACTGTGCATCTCTCCCCTCACATGCTCTGTCATTGGCGTATTCAACACGCCATTTTCTGTTGAGCTGCAGTCACGTAAACATGGCTGTCGCTATTGATTCTCCCACCAAGTGTGAATTGCGAGCTGTTATTCGTTTCTTGCAGGCAGAAGGGAACAGTGCAGCGGAAATTCATCAAAGAATGAGTCGAGTGTATGGAAACAGCTTTATGAGTGATGGCGTTGTTCGTGAATGGTGTCGAAAGTTTAAAGATGGCCGAACTGTTGATCATGATGAAGGGGGTCAAGGACGCAAGTCTGTCGCTACAGAAGACATTGTTCAACGAGTTGACCAAGTGGTTAAGCAAAATCGAAGGTTCACTGCAAGTGAATTATCGATGAAATTTCCGGAAATTTCAAGATCTTCCCTGTACTCTACTGTTACTGAACAGTTGCGCTACAGAAAAGTTTGCGCTCACTGGGTCCACAGATGTTGACTGACGACCACAAAACTCGCCGAATGGTTGCAGTGTTTGAGTTTCTTGACCGTTACAATACTGACGGAGAAGAGATTTTGAAATCCATTGTGACAGGTGATGAGACATGGGTTCAATATGACACGCCCAAAACGAAACGACAATCACAACTATGGATGCACACAAATTCTCCAAAGAGACCCACAAAATTCAAACGAACCTTTAACAACCATAAGGTTATGGCAACTGTTTTTTGAGACCAAAAAGGTGTGTTGCTTGTGGAGTTTACGCAGCCTGGAACAAAAATTAATGCAGATTCATATTGTGAAACTTTGCGACGCTTACGGAGAGCTATTCAAAACAAACGAAGAGGCATGCTGACTTCTGGAATTTTTCTGATCCACGACAATGCTAGTCCTCACAGCGCTCGTGTAACCCAACGGCTCCTTCAGCAATTTCAATGGAACATTTTCGAACATCCACCATATAGTCGCGACCTAGCGCCGAGTGACTTTCATCTGTTCCCTGAACTGAAGCAGTGGATTGGCGGGAAGCACTTCCAAAATGACGTGAAGCTGAAAGAAACCATCACAACTTACTTCCAATCATTGGCGGGGACATTTTATAAAGAGGGTATTGCAAAGCTTGTTCACAGATATGACAAATACCTCAATCGTCAAGGTGATTATGTAGAGAAATAACCTGTATTGTATATTACTTTTGGTAATAAAATCTTTTTTGTATATTCACCCGTCTTTTCTCCTTATAGCCCATCGGAGGTTGAAAAAAAATAGCCCTAGCGTATTAGAGGATTATTAAGCTTTAAAATATAAAATTTTTTTACTTTTGTAAATATTGTCTGCATGTGTGGTTAATTTCAGATAATTTTATTTTCCAGTCTAAATATTGTCTGCCTATTAATTGCATTTTTCTTTCTTTTGTTTTTGGCAACTATTGCAATGTTATGTTTACTTTTGATGTGTTTGTTCTAGTACTTTTGTATGTGATGTTTTATTCAACCAGATATTAAGGAGAATGCATACCAGAATTACAAATGCAATAGCCTCTGTGGATGCCAACATGCTTGCCGGTACCTGGCGTGAGATTGAATATCGACTTGACATTCTCCGTGCGACAAAGGGGGCACACGTGGAAGTTCATTGACAAGGGTCATGAAACTTTTTGAATCTACCTAACCATTTATGTTATTAATTTTAATCTATCTTTATTATTTTATGAGTTATTAAACATCAAAATGGGTCCGGGACTTTATAAACACCCTGTATTATGTAGAAAATTTTACCAAGGAATATGTAGTCTGATTTAATTTTTAAGCCTCTGAGCATTATGACCGGTTTTACCCAGTCATCAGAAGTTTCACTACTTGGTATAAATTACCTTACAATTTAAAATATTTTGCTTTCTTACTTTCTTTAATAATGTAAATATCATCTTAATGAATATAAGTTTATGAAAATACAGACTAAAATAAGAAATTATACAAAATTAATAAATGCTGTTTAAATACTGGTCTTCATGACGGATCTAAAATCCTGCGCCGATCAAAGGGCTAAATTATGTTTTATTATTTTTCATAAAAGCTCTGTAATATCCTGACAATTTGGATTATTTTTTCTACATTACTCACTTAAATCTTCACATTTCTTGCTTTTTTAACACTAAACACTTTAATTTGTAAATGTCCAAGGCATGTGTGATGTTTTTATTTTGTTGTAATGGAAAGACCTCTTAATCGTCTTTCATTCACTGAAGAT